GCAAAGGTGTCATAGGACACTGCACAGGCCATGATCGTTTTTAGGGTAATATGAGTACATATTAATTAGCTAATTTGCATAATTAATTAATTTTCAGCTTTTGATATATCAAGTAGTAATCATCATATTTCAATGAGACTTGCTACATAGATCTTCTAGGATTATGCAGAGACCTGATTAGTTTTAATTGGATATTAATTACCTAATTTGCATAATGTTCCACTGATATATAAAGAACCACAAATTGGATTTTAATGAAACTTTTAAAGAGAACTATGCAGAAACCCAATTAGTTTTTGGTAAATATTTATGCTTATTAATCACCTAATTAATATAATTAATTAACACTGATATCTCAATTACTGATCATCACATTTGAATAAAATTCGGTACATAAATGCTCCAGGACAATAGACAGGCCTGATTAATTTTGGATTAAAATTTGTTCATATTAATTCTCTAATTAGCATAATAATTCATAATTTTTTGTTCTGTTCTGTTCTGTTCTGTTCATATTAGTTACCTGATTTACATAATTAGTTTTCAGTTTTTCCATCAATATCTCATGTACAAGTAATTTTGAATTAATTTTTAATGTGTCTTCAATACTCTCAGCACACGGGAGTTCTTTCTAAGCTTTCTTTGATTATTTTTAATTTAATAGCTGGAAAGTCTAAAATTTTGGGTTGAAATTCAAAATAAATGCAAAGTTGTAAATACGAGCTAGAAAGTCGAAAAAGTTGTGTGGAAAGTGGAAAAGTGACTGAAGTTATTTGGAAAGAAAAAATGCAGGACAAGGTTACGATAGTTACCTTGTAAGTAGTGTGAAAAGTCCAAAAACATATGTTAAAAAGTTACAAAAATTATGTGGAAAGTCAAAAACGTGTGGACAGCTGAACAATACATACATAGAAGTTAGCATCTTCCGAATCGCATGGTTTTGCTAAAGCCGGTCAGTCATAACCGGCCCACGAACCTGTGCATGATCGTGTTAGTTAAATTGTTCATTTGATTGGGAGTGCCAAGGAGCTGCCAATCAGGTGAATGAAGTTAGCTGAAAAGTTGAAAATAGATTGCAAGGTGAATGAAGTTAGCTGGAAAGTTGAAAATAGATTGCAAGGTGAATGAAGTTAGCTGGAAAGTTGAAAATAGATTGCAAGGCGAATAAAGTTACCTGGAAAATTGAAAATAGATTGCAAGGTGAATGAAGTTACCTGGAAAGTTGAAAATAGATTGCAAGGTGGA